TGGCTCGGCCCCGTAACCCGCAGGTAGATTGTCGCATTGACTGCCTGCTCGCCCGCTTACCCTGCGTCGGTCCGGAGCGTTGCCGACTGTTGCGCGAGCTGGCAAGGGCGGCTCCTGCGCGACATGCACTTGCATTGTCTAGGCTTGCTTGAAGTGCTGGCTGTTTTGAGACCCGCAGCTTGTCGCCAATCCCTCGGTTAGAGGACTGAGCGCTGACGCGCGAAGCTTCCCACCAGAGGGTGACCGCCTCGCGGGCGGTGCCCTCGGGCGCGCGCGCGCGGGTTGGCCTCGCGGCTGGCCTCGCGACTGCCCGCAAGACCTGTGGATCTCGGGGTTGCGTCGCCTCCCAAAAAAGCGCGCTTAGATACGGAGAGTCGCGCGATGGGCGGCGCGCGCGGGTCCAGCGGCGAAGCGTTTATCCTTCAAGGGGGTCCAGAAGGGGAGTGGTGGCGCGTTTCCATCTCGGCGGCGACGCGGCGGATGGCGGGGGGCGCGCTCAGTTTCTGAGCGCTGCGCGATGGGCGGCGCGCGCGGGCCCAGCGGGGAAGCGATTGTCTTTTTAGGGGGCCCAGAGGGGGGTGATGGCGCGTTTCCATCTCGGCGGCGACGCGGTGGTTGGCGGGGGGCGCGCTTAGATTAGAAAAGTCTCGCGATTGGCGGCGCGCGCCGGTCCGGCGGGGTCTGGGGGGCGCAGAGGGAGAGCGACGGCGCGATTCCTTCTCGGCGGCGCCGCGGCGTTCGACGGGGGGCGAGCCTAGTCTCGAAGAGTCGCGCGATGGACGTCGCGCGCGGGCTCGGGGGGGGGATCTTCGCCGAGCGGGGGGTCCAGGGGGGGGGCGGTGGCGGGGTTCCACTTCCGCGGCGGCGTGGCCGATGACGGGGGCCGCGCTTAGAAGGCCCTGCATCGAGCGATTCTGGAGTTTTTGCTCGCGTCTACGGGGTCGCAAGCCCCCGCGCAGCATGGTCATCAGTCGATGGCTGGACTTGTCATGTTTCGCTTCCATTCTGCGCGCCATCGCTAGCCGGAGTTCAATGCGCCCGGCGCCCGGCGACGGCGCGACCGCCGCGGAGCTCCGCGTCGCGAGCCAGTGCACAGCATGTGGAGCTATCACCGCGCCCGCCGCGCTATGCTCGCCAGACGGCGGGCGTGGCCTGTGGTCGACCTTCATGAAGGCCAGGGCGTTGCGGCGCACTCCATCTATGTGGTCACCTCAGACGGCGACGCAGATTACTCGCCTGAAGTCCGGATCTGGGGTCGACCCTGCTACGTCATCGCGCCTTCCCCACGGATAGAGTCCACGCGGATTGCCTCGCGGGGCGGTATCATTGTTATACGGCGTTGGCAGTTGGGGCTACTGGTGGGCACACGTAGGCAACGCAAGCCACACATCGACTCCAACGCCCTCCGTGGGCGCGCGCCCGCCGACAAGCCCCAGGCGCGGCCCATCGCGGCGGCTGCCCGCGCAGCATGCCGCCGCGACAAGGACGAGTTCTTCGACAATGTGAATCGAGCCTTGGGCTGTATTCCCGATTGATGTGCATTGTCACTACGTGAAGTTGGACATGCCAGCTCACAGAGCAAGCGCGGACCACTGTGGACCGACACTGGGCGACGCCTGCATCCCCCCCCCCCCCCCCAGTATAGCATGCGAGCTCTCGACGCCTTTGTGCCTGCAGCAGAACGCAGCGCGACATGGGGGTGCCCCGACGGCCAGGGCGAGACAAGGATCGACTGCGTCGCCTCTTCCGAGCAGCACAGGCCCCCGGGATTCCGCAAGGGTCACCCGTGAGACTCCGTTGGCCTTGGGCTCCTCTCGGGCCGCGTGATCGTCGAGGCTTCTGTACATGTGGGCCGACACTTCCCTGAGCGACCCACCAAGACACCGACGCCGACGCGCCGCTGACAACGCGCGCTGAGCTCAATGCAGGCTCGGCGGCACTGGTCCACGGCAGAAGTGGAGGCCCCAGGCAGCGGCGGCCCTGTCGCCACCGCCATCAGCGCCGCCCTGCGCTTCCAGGACCGCGCGCGCCGCGCCATCGCCTCCGTGGATCACCTGCAGCTGGCGCCCGGCCCCTATGACGCCGCCATGGAGGAGGACACGTCCGAGAGCAATTGTTCACGCTTCGCGAATCCCCACCAGCCCATCCTAAAACAACCACTTTAGCAAAGAGCACCGACTGTCGGGATTGTTGGGTCATCTTTTCAGCAGCCATGCCAAGAGGAGTTGCTTTGATTCGATCAGGGAAGTGTGGGAGCATACAGAGAAACGAAGGACAGGGGGTGCCGCCATATCCCAAGAGGGGAGAATGGAGGAGGAATCGGAGGAGGAGGTGGGGGAGGGGAGGAGGGGGGAGGAAGAGGGGGGGGCGGACGAGGAGGGGGGGGCGAGCAGAAGGGCCAGAGGCCTCTTGGATGCATCGCGGAGTCTCTTGGGATGTCTTTTGGGAGCTTCTTGGAAGCCTTTTGGGGCGTTGTGGGGGCCTCTTGGCGGCCCTGGGGCTTCTAGGGGCGTCTTGGGTGCCTTGGGGGGGCCTCTTCGGGCCTCTTGGGGGCCTCTTGGAGGCCGTTTGGGGCGTCTTGGGGGCCTCTTGGCGGCCCCGGGGGCTTCCAGGGGCGTTTTGGGTGCCTCGGGGGAGCCTCTTGGGGCCTCTTGGGGGCCTCTTGGGGGCCTCTTGGGGGCCTCTTGGGAGCATCTTGGGGGCCTCTTTCGGCGCGCAGGAACCCGACGCCAACGCCAAGAAGCCGCTAGAAAAAGAAATCATTGCAGCCTCTGTTGAACGCCGTCGCCCGTGTCTTCGGGTTCGCGTGTCCAGAGCTCTGAGCGCGTGGGAACATAACGGACCGTCGCCAGTTCCCCAAGTGAGCGTTAGGATTTCCATGGGCCGCGCGAGTCCCGCGGGCCGCGCGAACCCAGCCAGCCCCATGAACCCCGCAAGTTCCACAAAGGGCTTCATGGGCCGAACGCGCGCCGCAGCGCGCATAAGCCCAACGCGCCGCGCTGGCCCAGCATGCCGCGCGGGCACCATTGGCTCCCTGACTCGTCAGGGCCACATCTGGTTTCTGAGCCTTGGGAACCCCGCGGGCCATGGGAGCCCCGTGGGCCTCAGGGGCGCCGTGAGCTGCACGGGGCGTTTCCCTATCATGGAAGCACCGTGGCTCGCAAAGTCGGAGAGCAATGCGAGCCATCTCAAGCTTTCTTGGCTTCGTTGGGTCGCTCAGCCCCCACAGGGAAAGCGCTCCGAACTTTTCCAGTGGCGTCTCGGCGCTGGCGCCGGCTTTTTGTTCCCTGCAACATCGAAAAGCCGACGCCAGCACCGTGGCCCCCACTGGAACGGCGGACCCATGTGCGCGCTGAACCCCTCGACGATTTCGGAAGGTTGCCACGGGCTGCGGGCTTGGGTCAAGAGGGGGCCACGGTCATATGCCCAGGCCGCGACGGGCGGCCACCGCCCCTTTTCGCAGAGAGCGGCAGATTCGAACTCGTCGGGCCTTGGCGTCGGGCCAGACGAGGGTCAGGGATGCGACGCGGGCGGACATAGGGCGGGTGAGGGGTGGGGGGAATGAGAGGGGGGCGGGCGGGCGGGGGCAAGCGTGGTGGAGGGCGGCGGTGGGGGGAGTGAAGCTTCAGCCATGGGGGATGCCGCAGCCTTCCCTCTTCTCTCCCTCTTCTCCCGAGAGCGCCCGCTAGTTTCGCTTCTCGCTTGCGCATGTTATTTCCTGCTTTCCCTCCTGCGTGCTGCGCGACGTCTCCCTTCCCCCGCCCTCCTCGCCCACTGCGATTCCTCGGGCCAGGGCGGGCTCGCGCTGGCCCAAAACGCAATTCGACATTTCGTGAAACAAATACTTTCTTGGGGCTGGTGTCGGCTGTTTGTTCTCCCACTCTTGGAGGCCTTTTTGGGGCCTCTCGGGGCTCTTTGGGAGGGGTCTGGGAGGTATCTTGGGGCCATCTTCCGGGCGATCGATCGCAGATGGGGCGAGCATTTTTCTCCCTCCCCCCGTCGGGGCCACGATCCTCGTGAGGGGTGTCGAATTTTAGCTCTCCCAGGAGTCGAAAAAGACCCCTCCAACGACCCGCGAAAGGACCTCTCCAGGCCCAGGGTGAGGGGGTAGGGGGAGGGGTAAACCCCTCCCCGAAGGGGAAGAAGGGGGTTGAGAACAGAGCGGGCTCTCTAAACCACTCACGCCCAAAGGGTTGGTGGGATTTCCCGCGGGTCTCTGCGGCGCCCCGTTTGCGCGCGCAGCAAGGCGGACATCGCGCTCGCCAGGTGGCCTAACAGTAATTATGTGGCTTGGATTGCCGTGCGACTACATTCGGTGGTTCGCGGTCGACTGCGCCAACCAGTTCCGTGACTTCGGGGCCAAGCAGAATGGGGTGGTGGTGCAGCATTCTTGCGTGGATTGCGCGGAGGGGGAAATCCGCCTGTCCGCCGTCGCCGCCGCGGAGGAGGGCATGGCCGAGAGCATCCCGCTGCGGGCCCTTGCGGTGCCCCAGGAGGCGCCCGCTGCCAGCGAGAAGGGCCCTCAGGTGGACCCATTCCAGGCGTCGCGCTGCTGGTTCGGGGCGACCGACCGCCACCGCGCGCTGATCGAACCCATGTTGCAGACCCCGTGGGGCGTCGAAGAGGCAGGAGATTGCGGGGTTCATGATCGACGACCCGACGACGACCATGCCTCTCGCTCCACGCCGCGAGCCCAAGGAAGCGTAGGAGTAGACTCGGATGTTGGGTATACTTCAGGTGAGTCCACCAGGTTGCACGCACCGGTGCTCATTTCTTCGGCAAAGCTTGCCGCGGGTGCCCGGTTCGTTTTTTTGTTCTCTCCAACGGAGACCTCTGTGTTGGCGTTGCGTCTTCACAAAAAGAGCGCGCTTAGTCGCGCGATGGACGTCGGTCTTCGCAGGGTTTCCTGGGGGGGGCCCACGACGGCGCGACAGGCGAAATCTTATAACGCAGTACCCCGCAGATGCGGCTGAGAGCGAGGGGGCGGCGGGGGCGCCGGCAGTCTGCGAGGCTCTGACGCTGCCCGCCGCGGGCGCTTAATTCTGACAAATTATGCAACGAGCTCGCCGCAGGCGCCGATTTTTTGGGTTAGAACAGCGTGGGTCGGTCGCGGAGCGGGTGGCGGGCGAATCGGGGGCGGGTCGCAGTTGGGTCACAGGTGGGTCGCGGGCCGGGTCGCGGGCGGGTCGCTCGCGGGCGGGTCGCTCGCGGGTGGGTCGCGGGTGGGCGGGCGGGTCGCGGGGTGGGTCGCGGTTGGGACGCGGTTTGTTTGCGGGCTGGGTCGCGGGTGGATCGCGGGGCGGGGCGCGGGCGGGGCGCGGGCGGGGCGCGGGCCGGGGCGCGCGGGGGGCGACGCCAAACGACAACAAAAATGACATCAACAACCACGAGGTCAATCAATCACCGTAGCACCCCGCAATTGCGGATAAGAGTGAGGGGGCGGGCGCGGGCGACGCGGGCGTCGTCGAGCCGGCGGACCTTGTGGCCCCCACGTCCCCTGTCGATGGCGCTGTCCTCCTCCTCCTCCTCCTCCTCCTCCTCCTCCTCCTCCTCTTCCTCGTCCTCGTCCTCATCGTCATCGTCATCCTCCTCCTCCACCTCGTCCTCCTCCTCCTCTTCTTCCTCGTCCTCCCTTTTCCTCCTCCTTCTTTTGGGGGCCATTCGGTGGGGGTCTTTGTCGGGCCACAAAGCGTGTGAGGGGTGTGCAACATCGAATGTGGGTACGCCATGCGACCGCAGTCAATGGGGCCAGCCACTGGCGCCTTCTGAGGATCCTGCGCGGCCACGAAAGGGGGTGTGCCGGATCGGGCGTGGGTGCGCCATGCAAACGCAGCTTCTGCGGTCTTCGTGCAGTTCTCTATGGGGCCCCAGAGCGTGCGAGGTATGCGTCGAATCGGGGGCGGGTGCGCCATGCGAACGCAGCCACGGGGGTCTTTGGTTAAGCACCAAACGTGTGATGGGTGTACCGAATCAGAGGCAGGCACGCCGTGCGAACACAGCCACGGGGGTCTTCCGTGGACATCCCGCTGGGGCCACGAAGCGTGTGATGGGTGCACTCAAATGGAGCGCGGGTGCGTCATTCCATCAAAGCCGTTTGGGGCCTTCGGCGGAGTTCCCGACGGGGCTGTGAAACGTGCTGGGGTGTGTGCAGACATGGGGCGGGTACGCCATGCGAACGCAGCCACTGGGGCTTTCGGTGGAATCCTTATGAGGCCACGGAACCTGTGAGGAGCGTGCCAGAATAGGTTCGCGGAAAGCAAAGGCAGAGGAAAGAGGAGGAGGAGGAGGAGTGAGGAACACGGGGCGATGTCCCTTCAAAGCGAGGACCCCCCACCACATGATGGTTGGGAACGAGATGGTGGAAGAATTGTTGTACGACCTTTTCTGGGGGCCCTTCTTGGGTTACCCCCAAGTTGCCCCAATAATCGAAATGATTGGCAACCCTTGCTTGTCTTGGCATCGCTCGTACGTGTGCATGTTTCCTTCGGCGAGGACCATAGAGGAGACTCCTTCATCATTTGGCGAAAAAAACACGCACGAAACCGAAAAAAACACAGGGAATCGACGTCCGAGCGATGGCCAGTTGTACGTTTGTTCAAGAGTAAACGTTTCGCTCGAGAATTCCTCATACGAATGCGCTCGGACAAGAAAAGTCATGGAAGCACACATGGCGTTCACCTTTGATTATTTGAATTCAGCGTTTCCCTAGAGACAGTCTCACCAACATGGAGTCCTGGGGGTCTCCGAAACATATCAGTTTTTCACGAAGATACTCATGTGCACTCTGATTGTAGTGTTGCTGATGCTGATGATTGCCATGATGATATTGATGAGTGTGATGATACCGATGGCAATGCGTCCTCTGGCGATAATGGTGGTGATGATGATGACGATGATGACGGGGAGGACAAGCAGTTACAGGGCCTCTATCGCGCGACATCGTCCACTGCATTTAAGGGGCTTTAAGTGCAGCGGGCGGTTGCGGTTCTTCCCAAGGCTCCGTATGTTCTTTTTCACAGTGGTGTGTCCTGATTTCTTGCGGAAGACCGCCCCGGAAACACAGTTTTTGAACAACCAATTGTCGTCCGTGTACGTTTGGTCAACAGTAAGCGTTTCGCCCGATATATTTCCACACATGCAGTCGGACAGGTTTCAATCCACATCAAGCTATGCTGAAGATGATGATGGTCGTGGTGGTGGTGATGACGATGATAGTGATTATGGTGTCGGTGGTGATGATGTTGACAATGATGCCGCTGTCGGTCAAGACGATGGCGAGAAATTTGCGTAGTGCCACGTTTTGCATCCGTCACGCAAATTGTGGGCCTCAGTCCAGGATGCGGACGAGCTGCCTCGGGGGGTCAGGGCCAAGAGCAGGAACACCTTGTGACCTGCGCCAGTTCAGCACCACGTCTGAAACTATGGGGATAGTGATGCTGGGAAAGAGCGCCTATGCCACAGTTGATCTCAGTGTTGGTGCGCGTTCTTTCCAAGTCCTTCGATGTTGCGCGCTTCCCAGTCATGCCAGGAGAGGTCTCTTCGCGGTGCCAGGGCACGGTACGGCCCACAACGGTTCAAAAATGGCGACGTTAGTGCATGTTGTTTCTTTTTAGGTTTTGCCTTGAGGGTTTTAACGTGTTTTGCGAAGAACCGCTGGGAGCCACTCCGCAAATCAGAGGAGGGCCCCAGCCTTGCTCAGTTCCCGGGTCTAGGTTTCTTCGATGCTTTGCTTGAGTATATTGGTCATGTTCCTGGGGTTCCCTGTTCCTTGCTTGGTTCCGAGGTTCTGTTCCTTGTGTTCCTGCCTCGGGGGTCCTTGTTCCTGTTCCTCGGGTTCCCTTGTCTTGTTTCTCGGCATTCCTGGTCGGTGCCAAGCAATGCCGAGCAACACAGCGCAGCAATGATTCATGCCCAGCAGTGCCTAGCAATGGCAAGCGCCTGCGTTCGTTCCTCGGATTCCTCGCCTGGGGCTCCTCGGGCTCCTCGCCTGGATTCCTTGCTTCGGTTCCCCAGGGATCCTCACATCCTCGGTTTCCGCAGGCAGTGCCAAGCAATTCCAAGAATTGCCCTGCATTGCTCTGAGCTGGTTTGAGTCGAATTGGAAGATCGATCCCCCTCAATTGGGATCTCGCTCGATGCATCTTATCAACTCGTCGGAGATGATCCTGGGACGCCGATCCAAGGCATGAGATGCGCCTGGCCAGGATCGGTGAGGTGGTCAGCGGGCGCCCACTGAAATACAGACCAGTGCAAAGATGCACATCCCTAGGCCGACGCTCGACTTGCGGGTGCGATCTGTAGCTTGCCCCGATTAATTTTTGTGAACGGGCTGCAAAGATGCGCGACCCTGCCTCGGCTTCGTGCTACGGCCCTGCGCCGGCTTGGTGGCTGCTGGGCGCCCGCTTGCTTTCCTGCACCCTCGCTCTAACTCTTGGTCCGCATCCCAGACCCACAGCCCGGCACTTCCCTGCCCAGAGCTCCGACGTCGGCGGCTGTTCCGCCATGAGGGAAAGAGGCCTGACGTTGCATCTTCCGGGGGGCCAGGTCTACCCAGCAATTCGCGGCATGTCTTTGCATCCGACGCGTATTCGACGTGGATCGGATTCGGATTGGTTTTGGAGTCGACGTGGAGTCCATATTCGATAAGTTTTGACACGGGTAGCGACGAGATGGGACAAAGGATGCACCCCGCATGTGCAACATCAATGGTTCTTGGTCCCACATGATTTTTGTTCCCCTGCTATGTTCCCCAGTGGCCCTGCGACCGTCAAAAAGCTACTCGGGATGAGAAGCTGGCCCTGGGGAAAGCTCCTGGGTCCAGAACCCATTCCCAGAGACCCGATGTACTTTCTTGTTCGATACAGGCCCCCCCTGTCCCCAGGGCTGGCTTTCCATCTCGAGTCGTTGTTTGAGGGTCATGTCGCACGGCGAGGGCCCTCGAAGGCCGAAAACGATTACAGACCTCAAGCATATGTTTTCCCATACGAAGTCGGGCATTCCACCATGACCACATTGCCTCATGCTAGGTCGTTGTTTTCCCCCCTCGGATCCCGACGTTGTTCCTGGACATCGGCTCTCCATGGCCCGTCTCCGAGCCCGGGGAACATCAAACTCTGGAGGGATTCAGATCAGGAGAAACAACATCGACACACACATAAATACCGACTTCCAAGAGTATGACGAATATGGGCAATGGAGGGAAATACGAAATTCCACCAAAAAAACAGATTCGGAGTCCAGAATGTTTTATACCTATCCCAACTATCCTGTGGTATTGGGTCCTCGTGTTAAAGAGACTGCGCCCCGCGTTTCCTTCCCTCCCGCTGCCCCCTCCTTTCCTTTCCTCCCATCCATGCCTCTGCCCTCCGCATGTCCATTTCGGCACACCCTCACATATTATGTGGCCCTCAAGGAGCTCCAACTAAGGCCCAACTGTCAGCGATCGCATGGCGGTGCCGCACCCAATTCGACAGACCCCTCACACGTTTCGTGGCACCATAAGGAGCCCCAACTATGGCCCAATTGTCAGCGTCCTCATGGCGTACCCGCACCCGATTCGGCACACACCTAACACGTTTCGTGGCATCATAAGGAGCTCCACCGAAAGGCTCAGTGGTTGCGCTCGCATGGCTTGCCCGCCCCATGGTCGGCACACTCCTCATACGCTTCGCGTCCCTGTATGGAGCTCCACCGAACGCCGCATTGGCTGCGTTCACACGGCGGCACCCGCCCCCGATTCGGCACGCCCATCATACGTTTCGCATGGAGTTCCACCAAAGGCCCCAGCGGCTGCGCTTGCACACCCGATTCCGCACACCCCTGACACGCTTCGCGGCCCCGAATGGAGATCCACCGAAGGCCCCAAGCGGCTGCGCTTGCAAGGCGTACCCGCCCCCTGTTTGGCACACTCCTCATAGTTTCGTGTCCCCGTATGGAGCTCCACCGAAGGCCCCAGTGGAAGCGTTCGCGTGGCGTACCCGCCCCTGGTTCGGCACACACCTCACGCGGTTCCGTGGCCCCATAGGTAGCTGCCCCTCTTTCGTCCCACCTGCCTTGCAGCACTCGCATCCGCATATGGTTGGGCTCCTTCGTCAGGATGTTGTGCTGACCATGTTTTAGGCGAGAGCTCCATGCCTGAGGATATGAAGAGTTCGCGGACAATTCCAGCATCCCGTTTTTCAGTTGAGAGTGTCCCGGGCGAGAACTTCATTTTGAGCATAAGATTTGTTAACCTGGATATTCCAACATCTCCATTTTGTGTTTCCCTGGGCTCCTGTAAAAGAGAAGCAGTGGCACGCGTGACCTTCCAAGACACTTCATATGTACTATCAGCGTTTACTGTATAACGCCATCGCACATCTTCAGTCGACACTCTGATGGGTTGAAGCTCGCTGAGGGGCAGCCAGCGCGATCTGTATTTCTGGGGCCACGGAGGAAGGCGGCAATACTCACAGGGTAAGAGAACGCCAGCATCCTACTCGTAGGTGAGAGCAGACATAGTATCAGAGCTTCTTGCGAATGGGGGTCGTGTTGTAATGATTGCTATTGACGGATCAAGCTCGCCCGCCGAGCGCATTGGGATTTTCCGTTGGAAAAACGTTTCTCGTCCCTCTTTTACCCCCCCGGGCGACCTCCAAGGCATTTCTTCAATAGTGATTTGTCATGGGATCGTCTGACTGGCTTGAAACTGGCATTGCCCTTGCGTCCCCACGCACGTTTTCCCGGAGCGACAGTTCGTCCCAGGGAAGGGGTCCAGAGTCCAGAGACTCAAGGATCGGCAAGAGTCGTGGCGTCGGAGGTCCGGACGCAGGGATTTTCAAGCGGATGTTTTTGTTTACCAGCGTGTGAGGTGCGAATGCATCGGCAAAAAGTGCGGTCCATCCTCATCCGAAGCGGGGATCGATCACAGGGAACATCGGCGTGTGGTGAATAGAGTCGTAGTCGCCCGCTGGGAGGGGCAAGCATGTCCATACCCGCCGCCTGCCGAAGTTCCCGAAGATCGATCCCACGGGGGCGGCGGTTTTGATAAATCCCCGCCTCGCACCTCATCCGTCGTTCCCCCCTTCCGAGCGTGTACGGTAGGTTCGCGTCGTGTCGACCGGCGGCGACCGCGCCGCCGACGTTCAATGTTGAACGCCGACGGCGGCCCAGAATCGGTCGATGTTGAACGATGGGACGTTGCGGAGACGGCCGATCGTTCAAGGTTGAACGATCCAGCGCGGTGTCAGGAACCAACGCCAGGGTCGACACGGCACGAACCTGCAGTACCTGGCCCAGCTCTCCCTTCCCTCCTTCCCTCTCCCTCCTCCCCCTCCTTCCTTCTCCCTCCTTCCCTCTCCATCCTCGCCCTCCCTCCTCTCCCTCTCCCTCCTTCCCTCTCCCTCCTTCCCTCTCCATCCTCGCCCTCCCTCCTCTCCCTCTCCCTCCTTCCCTCTCCCTCCTTCCCTCTCCCTCGCCCGTCTCGCCTGCCATACCGTCTTCTGCGTGAGAGCAGGGCCCCCGCGCGCGGGAGTCTCGCCACGTCTTTTTGAGCCGTGGGTTCCTCTGGTCCTCCTCCTCCTCCTCCTCCTCCTCCTCCTCCTCCTCCACAGGGGCCGCCCTGGTTGTGCCGTGCGGGCGTGCGTGCGCGTGCGGGCGTGTCTGCCTCGGTCGGGCTGCCTGCCTGCGGCGCTCACCCTGTAGCACCGCGTCGCTCTCGCGCTGCGCGCGTTTCTCGCTTCTGGCACTGCCCGCCTCCACTCGTCGCCACTCTCCCCCTTCTCCTCCTTCCCTCGCGGCCCACCGCGAGCGAAGGAGGAGAGGGTCGGGGATGGACAGAACCCCCAACAGTGACACGTCGATTAGTGAATTGTCCGTTTTCGGTTCTCGAGAGGGCGCCGTGGCCGCTATTTTCCAGGCTTGCGCCCGCCAGGTTTGGGCCTGAGGTCGTTTTCACTAAACCACGTTTTACTAAAGGGGGGTTTGTCCATCCCCGAGAGGGGGGATCCCTTTGCCCCCACGCCGCGTGATCAGGCCCGGCCGCGCGCGTGGAGAGTTGTTTTTAAAGATTAGCTGAACCTGCAACGTCCGTGACGGGGGGCGCGCCCCCTCCACCGGTGTTCCTCCTCCCGTGCTCTCTTTGCTGCTCCGCTTGCTGCTCCTCCCGCTGTTTGGCCCGTTGCTCCCCCTGCTGCTGCTCCAGTTGCTCCTCCAGCTGTTACTCCTGCTGGTCCTCGTCCTTCTCCTTCCGCTCATCCTGTTGCTCCTCCTGCTGCTATCCAGCTGCTCCTCCTGCTGCTCCTGCTGCTGTTCCTCCCCCCTTCTCATGCTGTTCTTGCCTGTTCCTGCTGCTCCTCCTGCTAATCCTCAAGCCGCCGCTGCTGCTGTTCCTGTTGCTCCTGCTGCTCTTCTTGTTGCTGCTCCTCCTGCTGATCCTACCGCTGCTCCTCATGCTACTCTTCCCTGTTACTTTGGCAGCTGCTCCTGCTGGTCCTCCGACTCCTCCTGCTGTTCCTATTGCTGCTCCTCTTTTCTCATGCTGCTGCTCTGGCTGCTCTTCCTGCTGCTTTTCTCCTTGTTGTTGCTCCTCCTGATGCTCTTGTTCCTCCTGTGCGATTGCTGTTCATGCTCTTCTTCCTGCTCCTTTCCCCCCCCTCTCTCTTTTGCTCCTCCTGATGCCGCCGTGCTCTTAATCAGGTGCTCCTGCTGCTCCTTCTACTTCTCCTTGTGCTGCTCAGGGGCTCCTCCTCCCTGCCCGTGTTGCTCCTGTCCTTGCTGAGCCTCCTGCTGCTCTCGTTACCTTCATCACGTTCCACTTGCTGCGTCCCCTGATGTATGTTAGTTTTGGGGCTCCTTATGTTGTTCCTCATGCTCCTCCTCCCATTGCTCCTGCTGCTTCTTTTGATGGTCCTACTTTTCTCCTGCTGGTCCTCCCGCTCGAGCTGCTTATATTGCTGCCGCTCCTCCTGCTCATACTATTTTTTATGCAACAGCAATTTCTGTAAATACTGCGTATGCTGCTGTTCCTTCCACTGGCCTTATCATTACAGCTGCATGTACTAGCAGTGCTATCAACGCTCTGACTTACAGCACTACGATTGTTATGAGCAGTATTAACCTTACCACCACGACTTCGACCACTATCGCCATTACGACCACCACTACGACTACGACTACTACAACGATTACTGCTACGACTATTATTACTGTGACTACGACTACGACTACTATTACTGCTACCACTACAACGTCTACCACTACCACTAGTACTACTACGACCTTCGCCACTACTACTACTACTACTACTACTACTACTACGACTACTACTACGACTAGTACTACTACTACTACTACTACTACTACTACTACTACTACTACTACTACTACTGCTACTGCTACTACTACTACTACTACCACTACTACTACTACTACTACTACTACGACTACTACTACTACTACTACTACTACTACTACTGCGAACTAGTACCACCACTACTGCTATTGTTATTACTACTGCTACTAGTATTTCTCCCACTACTACTACTACTACTACTACTACTGCTACTACTACGGCTACGGCTACTACTACTACTACTACTACTACTACTACTACTACTGCTACTGCTACTACTACGGCTACTACTACTACTACTACTACTACTACTACTACTACTACTACTACTACTACTACAACTACTGCTACTACTACTACTACTACTACTACTATACGACCTACTACTTAGATTGCTTACTTCGGCTACTTACTACAACTACTACTCCTACTACTACTACTACTACGACGACGACTACTACTACGACTACGACTACGACTATGACTACGACTATTGCTACCGTTACGGCGACAATGGCGACGGTTATTACGACCCTACCACCATGCCTGCGACCTGCTACCACGATTGCGACCACTACTACCGCGATTTGCTAGACTACTACTACTACCACCACTACGACGACTACCAATACTCTTACTGCTGTTGCTGCTACTACTACTACTACTACTACTACTACTACTTCTTGTACTACTACTTCTACTACTTCTACGAAAGGGACTACGACAACGACGACTAGCATCCTCATTATTACTACGACTCCTACTACCTGTAACGACTACTTCTAGTACAGTTATTATTTCTACTACTACTACTACTACTACTACTACTACTACGACTACGACTACTACTGCTACTGCTCCTGCTTCTACTCCTAGGGCTAGTACTACTACTGCTAGTACTTCCACGTGGATTATGACAATTATGACTACTACGATTTCCACATTCACGACTACTATTACTAGTAGTAGGTGCTGTTAATAATGCGACTACTTCTGCTACTACCACTACTGCTTCTACTACTACTACTACTGCTACTACTACCACTACTACTACTACTACTACTACGATTAATAACAAGACTGCTGCTGCTACTACTACTACTACTACTCCTGCGAGGACGAGTACAACTACCGTTGCTAGCACGCACGCGATTCACACTACGAATTACGAATGTTACCGCTTCAGTTCGACTGCTACTGTCAATGTCCGTCCTTCTGATTGCCGCCATTTCTGACACGATTTGTGCTAGTACACGTCGTGCCACGTACTGCGTACTGGTAAGTCTCATCGCATCAGTGGTGGCAGACATAGTCTCAGACGCCGTAAAGCACATACTAGTCGTAGTAGCAGCGGTGACGTACTGTTAGTAGGAGTAGTTATTGTAGTCGTAGTTGCAGAAATAGTCGTAGCAGGATTTGTTTGCTGTTGTGCTGCAGTAGAAGTGGTATCTCTAGTGGTAATACTAAGGCTTCGGGGCTTGCTCAAAGGTGGCTCACTTCACCTGAAGGACCCGAGAAACGCAGAGCGGTGCCTAACATGAGCGTGCAGATGCGATGTGTGTCGCGGCGCGCAACAATTCTATCATCTAGTCCACTCGTCCGCTCTGTCAGATCTGGTTCGACATTCGCGCGGCAATCCTCCGCCGTACATGCGACTTGAACCCGACGTAAATCCGACACAATCCGACGGGAATTCGGCGGAAAGCAGACGTGGATCCGACGTAAATTGGGTTGAAAGTTGCCGCGCATGACCCTCCCGGATTGGCCCCATAACCTACGTTGGCTAATTGCGCCACCCTCTCTCAGAGTGTGCCTACAGGCTTCAGCCCAGGCGTCCTTGTGGCGTGCTGATCCCTTGTCCCCCTCCGCCAGGAGGGGAGATTCCTCACGCGCCGATTGGGGCCGGGGTTCGCTTTTGTTCGCAGCCACGCTTCGGCCAGGACTCCTGAGTCATGACGTCTGTGCTGGCCTGGACGGTATAAGATCTGAGGTGATGACCCTGTGCCCCGAGAAAGTCCTCGGGGGTAGTGAAGTTCAGGATTCCGGGGGATAATAAACTGGTTGTCCCGGCAAGAAGGTGAGAATCTCATGGCCTTGTCACACGTTTGTGATTCGGGAAAGCTGGAATGGTGAGACTCCCACGGCCCTACCTCACGTTCGTGATGATGTTGATTCTCCGCATATAGATAGCAACTTCGATTCGTAACTTCCCCCGGTGATAACAAAGCTCGGCCCATCCGTCCCCCTCGCATGTCAAGGATGTGACAGGCCGGAGATGATCAAGACCGGGGTGGGAAGGGGGGGCGGTCGGCTGGATTATTCCAGGCACGGGGTTACATTCAGACCTTCTTAACGATTCGAACAACATCGCGTCACCAGACATCCGGCGCCTCGAGCAAATCAACGCGGCCAGTTTGATGTTATGTGTCGCCTCTGGAAGCTGGTTCTAGGCTCCTGGGCCACGAACAATCACCGAGCGCGTTACACTACCTGCAAAGTACCTACTCGCAAAAGTCAGACAACAAAAACACACGCCTTCCTCTTATGTAATGGAGCGTAAACCGCCGCGGCGGTTTGGGGCCATTTGAGAACAGCTACTTTGCAAGTAGCGGAACGCGCTTCACAAAGCAGGGTATTCTTGATAGAGAACCCGCCCCGGGACCTTGGGAAGCCTCGAGCGGTCCAGGGGCCCACGCATATAGAGAAGATCAAAGCGCCGGATGCGGGGCGGAAGTTGTTTTCCCAATTTTGGCCTCTGGGGGCCGCTTCCGGGCCTCGGGGCTTGCGACCTATGAGGGCCCCATATCGCATGCTTTTCCTTTGGCGACGGGGCAATTTTTGTACTGGTTCCGTTTTGCCGTTTTTGGTTGCCAGTTCCGGCACCGTTTTTTGGGCAGGTTCCGTCTTGTGTTGTTTTCGGATTCCGATTTTGGCTCCAATCCCGGAGCCTTTTTGTTTGCTGTTCCCAGTCGCCGTTTTTTGTTGGCCGTTTCTATTTTCAAGACATTTGTTTCAGAAGCGGTGGAAAAAACGGCCCTGCCGTTTCCGGGGCCCGCTTAGGCCAGGATGAAACCCGTATTTGGGAGACCCGCTCAGGCAAGTGCGCGTGGGGGGGGCACGGCACAGGCGAGAGCGCACGTGCGATCAGCCATGGACGGCGTGGAGGCATTTAAGCCCACTTTATCGGTTTGGCCTGGTCGGTGGTGTTCTTGCTCATCCTCGCGTTGTGCGGGCGCCCCCCCTGGGCGATGAAGAGTTGCATGAGCAACCCAATCGCGCGGCACCTCGCACCCTGAAGGGCAAGCGGGCACAAGGGGAACCTGTGTCTAGCGATGCGGCCCCATCACATATTACGGCAACCCCTGAGAAAAGTTCGGCCAGCTTTTCAGCTGAAGCAGGCGTCAAGAGAGGCCCCTCGGCTACGGCCTGCGGCTTCCAGGGAGCCCAGGGTCGATACAGCTGTCGGTACTGCTGTGGGTGATCAGAGGGCCCTCAGTATCGGTTTCCTCTAGAGGGCCTTCACAAGCAGCTTGGCGAAGTCCCCGCAATGACCTCGCCAAGCAGTGCCTGGGCGCCCAGCTACGTGGGGCTCGTCAAGCCCAGCCCAGCGCCAAGCTTGCGACGCAGCAACATACTGACGTCGCCATCAGGCCCCAGGCTGCGCTGCGCAAGCTCAGCAAGGCCACCGACACAGTCTCGGCCCAGGAGTAAGCTATCGAGGGGGACCAGGAGTCCGTGGCTTATATTTGTGTGGAGAAAGGCTGCAGCCTCGGAATAGGAGCCGCTACGGACCATGCCAGGTCCTGCGGCTTCTTCGACAGTTGCTTTCGAACGCAAGTGACCTGATGAGGTTCTCGAGGCTACGTCAATGCCTTCCTCGAGTGCCATGAGTTCCCCAAGTTCCTGCAGCTCCTCAGCCCCATGGTGCTGCCCCAGGCGCTGCTGCCGCCCCCGCCTCAGCAGACAGAGTTCGAGGGCCGCTCGTCCGAGGACGGTGACATTCTCCAGCGGGCTGTTGCGGAGAAGCGGGTTTTCGAGGAGCAGTTCCAGGCATTGGGCTTCAAGGGGCCCCGCGTTGCGTCGTCTGCTTGGCCTCCAAGGTCGAGTGCCGCACTTCTCGGGGACCCCAGTCTCAGTGCTTGGACACATCGTTCCGCGGCGTGAGAAATCCGAGCCCACGGCAGACGCTGCGGCACCTCCACGTGGATTTGACGTTTTCAATTGAAATTGCCAAGCCGCTCTTCTCCAGCGTCATGGCGTGCCTAATGCTCTTGTTGTATGCGCGCATGGGATTGGACCAGGTGCCGCGGGTGACCACGGCCTCTCACGTGCAGCTCGCCTGCCTGGCTACCGCGAGCCGCGCAGCCCGTCTACGCAGTGCGCCAGTGGTCCGCATTCTGCAGGTGCCGCAGCCTCTGGTCGGCAGCACCTCGCGTTGCGATGGAATCTCACAGGCTGCGGATTTGTCGAGGGCATGTTCATTTCAATGGCAGCTTGCATTTTAAACTCAACCACCCTGATAGCGCAATCTACCTGTCAACCTGTTTCTGCGAGATTTTGTTTACCCAGCCAGCGCGCGCATCCTGGGAATCCTTGGTACGTCAATGTTTCATGTCTCGGTTCGGTGCTTGCAGGCGTTGATTGGATTGTAGATTTGGTGGCAATCGGGCAGAGTGGGTTACGAGCAAAGCTGGGTTCATTTCCACTGCCTGTGCGTGGCCCGTGCGTTGCGCATGCATCTGCTTCCGCCAGATCTGATACGTATTCTGCTCCCCGGGCCGCGGAGGAAACGCGGGCTCCCTGTTCTCGGCATAGGGGGCCGCGCGAGTCAGCGCGATTGCAGCTGCGACCGCGGGCAGCTTAGATTCGGCAGTTGGCTCTTCTGTGTCAACACTGAGCTACTCCCGTCGCCCCTCACGCTGGCCCGCTGCACGGGCTGCCGCCGCGCGTTCCAGCTACTTGCCTGGCAGCGCAGACGGCCCACGCAGCGAAGTTTGACGCGGTGGCGAGGGCTGTACTGGTTCCGTTGCTCGTATTGCCCATGCGCTTGGCGATGGTGGCGCTGCGTCTTCCCCCGCCCATGCGCAGAGCGCTCCTTGGCGGGGCGTCTTTCGATCTTCCAGACTTCTACCACTTCGACGGCCCGGGAGGAACGGGCGCGCGATGGTCGCCGAGCTTCCGACCAACGTACAAAGGGGGCGGACGTTGGTCGCCCGATGCCCCGGTCAGCGCGGCAAAGAATCGCGTGCCGGTCGCCCGCTGGCCTGGTCATCGCGGCGCCGCAGCGGCGTGCCTTTCGATGCAATCTTTGCTGGAACCCCGCCGGCGTCGACGAACTCCTGTCCCTGCAGACCCCCGCGTGATCGGACAGGCCACAGCTGTTTGGTGGCCCTCTGGAACGCGACTTCGAGCTTGCCGCTCGCCACGGCTGCTGCCGCTTCCGACATGCAGTCTCAGTGTTGCGCTGAGTGGTGCGAAACGGCGCATCACAGATGGGCCAAGTCAGTGCGTGGCCGCCTCCGGAAGGCATGGCGTCCCGCGGCGGTCGAGGAGGCGCCCGGCACTGTCTCCAGCAGATTCGATTCTACCCTCGCATGCGAGACCGAGATGCTTCAGGACCAGCAAAGGACTACGACGGCACCGCCGATAGTTCAAGCGGTTGATTCAATGGAGGAAAAACCAACTGGATCGGACAATTGGCGTTTACTAAGCGGCCTTGGGCGTTTACTAAACAGCCTTGCCCTGTTCGATTCCTTCATTTGCGGCGTTTAGTAAACGGCTTCGCGTGTCGGGGTGGTTATTATTTGGGTGCATTCGTTGCCCTCTATTGATCGCCGATGTTCCCCTCCTCCACGCTTTCGTGCTCTAACGGCGGCGGTGCGCAAGCTCTCTAAGCGCGTTCCGTCTACCTCTCGGCGGCTTGCACCCTCGGCGCAGCAGCGTAGTGGGCGATGCAGGCGCTGCCGCCTTCGGAATCGATGTCATGAAGCCGCGGAACAGGCCGGCTCGTTTTCCAATGCATGTGATGTGGATTTGATGTCTGTTCATCTATATGTTTGCTGTCGGCGATCGCACGATTTTCTTGCTCGCCTGCTCGTTTTCCAATGCATGTAGCGTGCATTCATTGAAGGGAGGAATGCCACCCTGACCAGACAATTGGCATGTACTAAACGGCCTTGGGCGTTTATTGAGCAGCCCTGCCCTGCTTGATTCCTTATTTGGGTGCGTTTGCTAAACGGCTTCGCGTGCCGGGGTGTCTCTTATCGGGGTGGAATTTCTGCCCTCTAGATATGTATATATGTTCATCGATCTGCTTGTTGGCGGCTATCGCTCGATTCTCTTGCTCGCCTGCTCTTTTGGAGCACGATGGCGATAGCGGCGCCCACAGTTTGGCCCAGGCAGTTGTAGCCAGAACGCGTTCATTGCAGCCTTTCGGGGCAATGGCGTTGAAACAGCACGCGAGTGGCCTCAGGCAGCCTCGCCCGAATTGGCCTCCGCAGAAGACTAATTTCTCTTTGCTGTGCAGTGGGATGGCCTGACAAGTAACGTGCACCTCGGCTGGCATGACTGGAATGTGCCTCCCACTGCCTTGCCGTCTTCGAGCTTCGTGAGCCCCGACGTGGCGACCCGTTTAACGCTTCGTTCGTCGAGGGGTAACGGCTCAGTGGTCCCGATGATTTCGCGTGTCGTTTTTTTGCGGTCCCGCTTTCGTTTTGCACCGACGACGGTGTGATCGCGGCGCAGGACTATGCCCGGGCGGATATGTCCGCTACCGAGGCGATCACCATAACGAGCAGCGGTTCCGCTGTTTTGGCTGCTCACTTTTGACGGCGAGGGCTTTCTGCAGGTTCGATCACGAACGCTACGATACATGTGGGTATCGATTGTGAAGGCTTTACGGCTGGTGCCGCCGAACCTGAAGACGACGACGACGATGACGAGGAGGAGGAGAGATAGGAGGAGCAGGAGGAGGAGGCGGAGGACGCGGTGGAGCAGCAGGAGGAAGACGAGGAGGATGCGGAGGAGGAGGACAGGGGGAGCAGGGGAAAGGGAAGGACGGGTGGGGAGGGAATGAGCAGTAGGAGGACGAGGCGTGGATACTTATTGATCTCGGACTTGTGACTTTGGGCAGGCGGCGGCGGCAATTCCCGAACAACAACGTCGTCATCGTCAACGTCGGCGTCGTCGCCCTCGTCTCCGTCGGGGGAGACAGATGATCTGCAGGGGTCGGGCCTCGACCCCTTGACCAAGCGATTACTCGCGCCCACCTCGCTCGTGTTGCTATGTATGATCTGACGTATACGAATGTATGTGCGTTATGACAATTCAGTTGCGGTGGAATCGCTCATGTGTGGCCTTGCTGTCACTTGCCCACGCGTCCATACGACGTGGAGAGAGAGGAGGAGGAGGAGAAGAGGGGGGAGACTGCGGAGGATGAGTTCCTCGGGGGAGAGGAGGAGAAGGACCAGGAGGGGGAGGGGGGTGGGGACTGATGCGGAGGTGCAGGGTGGGAAGACGGCCCCTTCCCCCCCGCGCTGGAGCAGGCGGCTTTCCTTGGCGCCATCGGGAAGGCGGCGGAGGCGGTGTCGTCCGAGATCGCCGGGGGGGAGGAGGCCCCCGCGGCTCCGCGGGAGCAGCACGGGTCGGGGAGTTGGCGGCGGACGCTTCCGTGGCCCCGGGGTGGGTTCCCTCGGCTGCGCCTCGCCGTGGGCGCCGAGAGGCCGGAAGCGCCCCGAACGGCCGCCCGAGGCCGGAGTTGCGAACGGAGGGAGCGGGACGGGCTGGGGGCTCTGCGCGAACGAGATGGGCACCGAAAGAATGGGTACGATGCCCAACAGCAGTTCCTGTTCGTTTTGAACAGGACTCGCTGTCCGCGCCGCCGAGGCCTGTGTCCATTTGAGACAGAATGCCGCCTGCCCAACAGCGGCCGCTGTTGGTTCGGGACAACATTTGATGTTGGGCATTGTGCCCATTGTTTCAGTGCCCATCTCGGGCGTCCAAAGGGGCTGCCAGAGGGCTTCGTGGGACCAGGTGGGCCTCTCTCGACCGGAGGCCCCCCCCCCCAGCCTCGGGCGGGACGAAAGGGGGGGATTGGGAAAGGGGGGGTTTACGAAATTTGCTGCATGCAGCTGGTTTCGGCCTCGCCGAGGGGCCCATTCCTCGATACATAGCCGCCTCCGGCGCCAGGAGGCGCCAGGAAAATCAGCTACGTGAGGTGATTCTCAACCCCCCCCTTTGCTATCCCCCCCTTTCGCCCGACCCGACAGCCCCAGCCCAGCCCGAGGCCCCCCAGTTCGACCTGGTGCGCCCCGGCAGCCGTCGAAGTCACCCCTTGCAGAAGCGGACGTTCTCGCCGTCTCCAGACGGGGCCAGAGCTCCCGCGACGGAGGTCGTCGCCAGCGAGCGTCAGCCAGTCTACTGTTGTGGTCTTGGCTTTGGGGCCACTGCACGGCCGGCCGGGGTTCGCGACATGGCGTTGGCTGACCCGTGTTAGCGCTGTGTCGGGTGAGCGCGTCACCGAGAGAATCGGGAGTATCGTTTTTTTGTGTGTGGGAACGGAGACGAAGACCCACATCAGTCCCTGCCGATTGTGAACAGGGTTCGATGTCGGCGTCGCCATGGACGTTGCTCAGTTTGGGCGCGCATCGCTTGCCAAACATCGGCCGTTCCCGATTGTGGACATGATTCGCTGCTGGACATGATCCCTATTGTTTCCGTCCCCATGTCGGGCGTGCCAAGATTCTCGTTTCAATGATGGTAAGCTGTCGCACTGCGGTCGTGGAAGAGGTGTGGTGCAATCTACGTGTTGTAAGTCATGTGGTGCAAATTGGGTCAGCTATGTCGTCTGTCTGTCTAGCCAGGCGCCAGGCAACGGCGCATCGGCAAGAAATCGGCAGGAGCTCGATCGGCTCACGGATCCCATGGACACAGATTGGCAAGAAATGCGAGAGTGTTGCAGACCTTAACTCTATGGAGGCCTGCCCAGTTAACGCGCAGAATTCGCAACATAATCTGCATGCTTGCCAAATTCAAGCGCTGGGGTTGGGACGAGAGGGAGGGGGCAGGGAGGAGGAGGGGGAGGGGGAATCACACCATGGCGCGAAACTGCATTCGTGGATCAATCAGCATTCCAGACACGAAGACACGAATCTTTGACTCAGAAAGCGCGGGTGCGTCAGCGTTGTCTTCGACGACCACCCCGTTACGGCAGAAGTTCTGGACTGAAAGAATTTGGGGAGCGCTTCAGTTTGGGATGCACGTGAAACGCATTTGTCCGTCAAATTGTTTGTTTGCACTGCCACATCCTTGTCTGAAATGCCGTACACAGCGTCCTCCGCAAAATCTCCACTTCCAGGTTCGAATTCACATGCGGCCTCCATATCAAAGAAATCGGGCTCCTTCCCCGGCGATATCTCAGCATCTGGTTCTTGACGCCCCTTGCATTGTTTTTGAAGTGTGCTCATGTTTTTGGCAACCAAAGCATCAATAGATTGAGCATTACCAAAGTTTGTGCGAAACAGAAGCAATTCCAAAGTATTGGTGTCCCTCCCATTGTGTTGCAACGCATTGCTAGGAGCATGCTGCCCTTGAGAGGTAATGCGAGAATATATCGGATCTCATCGACAGAAGATCTCAACACATTGATCCGTGACCAAGCTCTGACATTCCATTGTAGTTGCATGCCGCCTCCGGCTGCGCAATGACCACGCCGATTACTTCCGGGAAGCATCCAAACCACGTGGGGAAGAAGAGCACCGATCAATACTAATTAGTAGACAGATGAAGTGTAAGTTGTGAGTGCGATGCTACACATGGAGCGCTGCAGTATGTTCTGTGCTTGAGCTACGCAGTCTGTGCTCTAGTTTCAACGTGTAAGTGTGTGGTGCAAGCCATGTGGCGTAAGCTATGTGGTGCGATCTACATGGCGTAAGCTATGTGGTGCAATCGAAGTAATGCAAACTATGCGGTGCAGCATATGTGGTACAAGCTGTGTGGTGTAAGCTATCGTGCCCGGAGGAGACGCAGGAGGAGGAGGAGAAGGGGCAGGAGGCGGGACGGAAGTGACGAGGAGGAGGAGGAGGAGGAGGAGGAGGAGGACGTGCGGAAGGGAATGCGGGAGTGAGGGAGGGAAGGGGTGAAGGGAAGGGATGGCGAGGAGGAGGAGGAGGAGGAGGAGGAGGAGGAGGAGGAGAAGGAGGGTCGAAGGACGGAGTAACGGGAAGGAGGAGGGGGATGAGGAGGGGGAGGAGGAGGAGGAAGCAGGAAAAGGACGAGGAGGAAGGAGGAGGAGGAGGAGGAGGAGGAGGAAGAGGAGGAAGAAGACCGCGTGCGCCCGAACCGCCCCGAGGGACAGGCCTTCAAGTTCGTGGCGGTGGCCAGCGCGCTCACCCGCCGGACCGCGGCGGCTGTGATAGTCACCGCAACTTTCACATCCTGAGCCTTTTTTCTGGCTGGCTGGCGTGGCCCACGAAGACATCGAGGACACAGAGGCTGGCTCGAAGATACAGAGGCTGGCTGGCTGGCTGGCTGGCGTGGCCCCGCGCCCACGAAGACATCGAGGACACAGAGGTCGGCAGTCCCGCTTGGCACAGTCGGCTGCGGAAGGCGCCCGCCGACGTGCGAGTACTGCTGCGTGTCGCCAGCACACAAGCAGTCTTCGCTCACCACAGCTCCCAGCGACCACCGCGGCGACGATCACTTCGAGCACCAGCCACGGTTGAACAAACAAGGATCAACGGCGCGTGATTCAACACCACCGTGGAAAACGGCACCGGGCCGCACACCAAGCAGAGGACCAACTTCACGATCCAACCGTATCGGGTATTTTGGCAGGCCTCGGATGCTGGATGAACAACAACAACTTGACGGAGTAGTGGGCCCAGAACCACCCCGATGCCCAGTGGAACAACGACCACAAAAGGCAAATGCAAGTTAACACCCCCAAAACCTTGCGAGGACGACTACGGGCCTGACAGCCGCAACCAGAAAGTCAATAACAACAACAACGCAGACAGAGGAAAAGACAAATCGCAACCCGAGCAAAATGTCGGTCCAACAGAGCATGCTACCCAGGAATATAACGGCCACGTCACGAACACGATCGGCAATGCAATGCCGATGAGAAAGGTTGACGCAGGCAGAAGGCCGGACTGGGAAGAACTTCGCAGCAATCCCAAATTGAGAGACGACATGTAAATATCAAGAACATAGGTCAGAGGAGACTGGCTGTATCCAGTGCCAAAATCAACGCAGCAGGAGGGCGGGCTTCGGCAGATTTTGGAGAGCGAGGATCGCGCGCGGATCCTGATGGGCCAGCTCGCGAACGTGCGGCGCGAGGTGCCCCCGACGACGATGCCTTGGTCTGATGAGTCGAAGAAATTACAGAGCACCGTGAAGCATTTGTCCTGGCACCCGCCCTGGGTGGAGGGCCCTTTGGCGGAAGGCGCCGAGCATGTCGGCGCGCGGTTCCTGCGCGAGATGGATTTGCCGGTGGGGAACGGGCGGACGGAGCGAAGGCAACCACTCGTGCCGGACGTCGTGGGGCTCGGCCGGCGCCCGTCCATTTGGTGGGCGCAGAATCCTTTCTACAATGCCGCGTGCGACATTCAGCGCGTGGGTGGAGATTCAGGTTCGTGGGCGGCAGGAGACCGCGCCCTTGGGCTCAAGACGCTCAGTGATGACAACCACCGCATGGCCTGCGACATAGACGCCAGCGACGCGAATGCCGAGATCCAGAAGTTAAGGACACTTCCGAGCAGCAGAGGAGCAGGCGAAACAAACACCAACGACTACTGCGCATAATGACAGCACAATCCCAATACGAAAAAGACGAGCTGGAGAGCGAGATGCGCATGGCCGAGGGGTCGAGCGACAAGGATGCATTGCCCCGCGAGTTCGAGCAGCGCAGGGGCCCAGTTGCACGCGCCGACCGAGAGCCAGAGCAGCCGCGACGCAGGTATTGCGCGCCGAGATAGACGGCGGGCTCTGGGAAATTACAAGGGCAGACAGCGAGAGAAAGTCGCACCAATATCATCATGGAGGCCGAGCAGAGCATCGCAAACGCAGAGGCGCAAGCAGCCGGGGCCAGCATCGAGAGGGGCAGCGACAACCTCCTGGTCAACAAGAACAAGGAATGGGGTGGGTGGGTGGGAAATGTGCCCCTGCGAGTTCAGGGCCAACTGCGAGCGCGACGGGGTCGCGCGGAGGCAACAACGCGCAGCGTCCGCGAGGAATGCCGGCAGAGGGCCACGGACGTAGAGCGCCCGCTCAGGAGAAGCGGCGCGGAACAGGCCCAGCGCCGAGAGGGGTGCTTCCAGGAAGTGCTCGCCGAGATGTCAGCTCGCGAGCAGCGGGCGCGCTTGAAGGCACCGCGGGCAGCGGGGCAAGCGCAGCTATGGCGAGCCGAGATGGGCCCTGCAGTGCAACGCGGTTTTTTTTTCAGCACGAGATGCAGATCTCCCCGCGGAGGGAGAAGGCGCGGAGAGGCGCGATGGAAATCCGCGAGAGACATGCAGAGCAGGACACCGAGGGGTCTCAACGCGCTCGCAACGATGCCGCGACGGCGCAGGAACGCCTCGACAGCGCGGGAATGGTCGACGCGATCGGCGGGGCC